TAGTATTCTTTTAAATTGTTTTTATGTAAGCCGCCCGGAGTCCTTTGGGATTGGGCGGCATATAAATTTATTAAACTTTAACTTTATTTCTAACAGGATTTGTTCACTTACCATCTGTGTCAAAAAACATTCCAAGAGATATGTATTCTGGACCATGCCAATTTGAGCGAAAATTACTCTGAATAAAGATATTTTCATCTTTGCTGTTTATAGTAATAATATCCGCTCCGGAAGCTGCATTTGGGAAATGAAAGACAAAACATTAAGGCTGAATGTCAGTTCCTGTGAATGGGAGTAAATGCTGTAGTTCATTTGGTATATTGTTAGCCTTGATCATCCTGGCTAGGGTGGGATTCAATTTTTTTTACTACCGATTCTGTGGGCATGGCTTGGTGGGTGTGGTGTGGCTTGGTGGGCGTGGTGTGGCTTGGTGGGGGTGGCTTGGTGGGCATGGCAGGGGAAGGATACTGTAAAATCTCCATTTCCATCCCACTCCAGGGGAAGGATGCTGTAAAATCCCCATTCCCTCCCAAGCAGCTGGGACTCGGGAGGCAGAGAATAGATGGGGGCAGGACCAGTCAGAGGTGGTATTTACTAGTTCTCCAAGCTATTCAAAATTTCCATTACCGGTTCTCCAGAACTGGTCAGAACCTGCTGAATACTACCTCTGATCCTGGCCATATGAAAAGGTGTACATGCATGCACCTGGTGAATATGAACTGAATAGGCAAGTTCAGTTCTTTTATTATACAGTCACTGGCTTGTTTTTGGCTTCTAAAAATATCTAAATACTCTCTGCAATACTTAAGGGTGCATGTGCATGCATGTACATCCTTGTGCTGCATGACTGACAATGCCAAAAGATTTTCCTAAAATAAACAGTCTGGAAAATTCTGAGATAGAAATCAGTGAAATAGCATTAGAAATGATTGACAGTATGCAAGCATGCTAGATCAATGCATTTGGGAAAGTCTGCATTCCCCAGAAACAGAATGAAATTGAATGGAATCAACCCTAGAAACCCAAAAGCTTACATTCAGCAGGCAGGTCTCTATCCTGAGGAAGTAATGTAACACGATCTGTTAACTACTGCGAGTACTAAGATTCTTCAAAATGGCAAACAAACATTCAGATGTTGAAAGGACCCCCAGTTTCTGCTCATAGTAGGCTCAACTGATTGGTCTCAGTGCATCACACAAGGTTGGGATGAGACTGGACAGAGCAGAGCTGTCTTACCATTGCCTTGGCACAGCTCCCTGGCATCATCCATACCGTAGACCTCTGAGGAGCCCTGAAGTAGAGCATAGCAGCTCTTTTCGAATGGAATCCAAGCAATGGAAGGGCAGGCTACACAAGGAAGAGAACATGGGACCATCTGTTTCTGTTGTCAGTCACAGCTTCACAACATACAAATGAAGTGAAATGAGTTTCCCCAAATATTCATACAACATTCAAGACAAGTTAGACACAACCTAATCAGATTTGAAATAAATGAGATTAACAGCAATATTAAAAATTATGTTGTCCATTTTTTTGTGTGAAGAAGGATTAAGTGTGACATTCAGGCACTTATTTCTTTAGTAGAACAAATAGCTGCTAGAAGAAGGGAAGGGGTTGATTGCAAAAAAGTGACTCTTCCTTTCCCAGATTTAGCAATCCTAACCCAAGGCAACATTTACTTTTTAGCTTTAAAGAACAATCTAACTATAACTGTTTATTCTTGAGACTTTTCCCTTTGGATAAAATACACATAGCTTTTAACATTCATTGCAGCTATTTTGATGTAGGTATGTTTTATTGCTGTTTTGGCCCATGTTTAATTACAGCATACTTTTCACATTCATTTTGATTCTAGTTTTCAAATCTACTATTTTGTAATATTAATCTTGCTATTGAAAACTCTTTATGTTATTATATTTAGCATTTAGATACATCTATCTCCAGAATCACTTAGCAGATTTGGCTGATCTTGAAGAATAAAGCAGGATCAAACTGGATGGGAAACCATTAAGAAATCAGGTCCCAGTTGGCTCCAGTCATTAACAACAGAATCAGGATTATGCGGACTGTAACAAAAAATACCAGGTAGGTGAAGGGTAGGTCAAACATTAGAAGGCTAATTTTAACAGAATTAAAGGGACATGGCAGAGATCTGCCTAAAAAAATGGTAAGCCCTAAATTTTGAGGCCTAAAGAGCAATTTGTGAATGTTCTTCTGTCCTCTTTTAAAGATATCAGACACAACAGAGATTCTATCTGAGGAAAAAAGAAAATGGCTAAGAAATAGGTCATGAGCAGGATAAGGAAAATAAACACATATAATAGAAAGAGCAATACTCTCCCTAGCTAAATATCAGATTAATCCTACAACTCTGATAGCTGAAGATATGTGTGTATGTGTTTGGTTCATTCTATGTCACCAAAGTAAAAGGCTTCACCAAATCTTCAGAAAACATGCAGTCATATTTTATGACTTCTTGTCCTTGGAGTTTAGCACTATGCCTTCAAGGATGGGCTAGTAACTCAATAATAACCACGTTGTTCTTAGCATTTCAAGAGGGTACACCCCAGTTTATCAACCAGTTTCACACAGAAGTACAGTCTGGGTGCTGGGACATACGAATCTGCTTCTGCAAAACAGGAGGGAGTTAGCACAAGCCAAAGTTCTCCTTAAACACAGATACAGATCTCTTGCTTAGAAAAGACTTGGTAGTGATGACTTTATTATCCTTATCACTATACAAATGATTATCGCAAGATGGTTTACATGGAGATGCCTCTGAAGATCAAGAAGTTTTGCTGGAAATGCCATGGCCAGGAGATTAAGAAAGGAGACCTGTTCTAGAGAAACATCTCTTTTGCCACTGTTGCACTGGCTGCCAATGGGCTTTTGGGCCAAATCCAAAGTCCTATTCAATACCTATACAACCCCTTGTGATGGTGGCAGGCGCAGCTCCAGAGTACATGAGGGATCACTTTATTCAGCACAACCCCCTCCCAGGATGTGGATTGATGAATTTTTATTGTGATATTTTTGTGTTATACACCACCACCCTGTCTTGCTAGAGGGCAGTACTAGCAACAAAGAGTAGTAAGGGCAGTAATAAAAAAGAATGAGGTGGGTTGATAATGAACAGAAAAATGACAGTCCTGGGGCTGAAAATGATGTTTTTTAGCACTGTGAGGAGAAATATACCTGATTTGAAAAAAGTCTTTTATTTTTTTTTCTTTGGTAGCAGAAAAGACTCTGGCAAGTTCACTTCTCTCCACACCAGTGGTGAAATTCCAAGTTTTTTTTTACTACCAGTTCTGTGGGCATGGCTTGGTGGGCCTGACATGGGAAGGATACTGCAAAATGTCCATTCCCACCCCACTCTGGGACCAGCCAGATGTGGTATTTGCCAGTTCTCTGAGCTACTCAAAATTTCCACTACTGGTTCTCCAGAACATGTCAGAACCTGCTGGATTTCACCCCTGCTCCACACCCCTCTATTTCACAAACCTAGTATACAAATTTCAGTATAGTATACTGTTTCTGGATAAAAATCAACGCCTCCTTATTACTAAAGTCATCTTGGATGTAACATGGCTCTAGTGGAAATTGAATAAAGATAGTGCCTAGGCAATTAAAACAAAAACAAAAAAAACACCTCCTTCCCTAGTAAATTTTCCCTCCCCCCTTGTTTTTCTTTCTTTCAAACATTGACTAATTTTCCTAAAGCATCCACTTCCACATAATCCAAGTCATCCTCTAATTTCGAAACTGGTTAATCAATCAGATTTTATGCTTAGTCACAACAGGATCTTACCAACCTTGGTTGACCTGGAAGAAGCCTAGTATGTCGAGCATATGCAGTGCTTAGATGGGAGACCATTATGCTGCAGGCTAGTCCATGAAGTTAAGAGGGGAAAAAAACTTTCCAGAAGAAGACAATGGCGATCCACTTGGGTATTGTTAGGCAGGTCGGGGACCCATGAACGCACAGGAGTCAAGCTCAATTGAACAGAGGCTTCGATTGGATTGAGTGCAGATTCAGCTACATAAATATTTATTTTAGGCCCTCTGGTCTGAAAGCCTTGCTTGCGTTCTTATGTTGCTCAATAACTGTACATCAGCCAAACTGCCTCCTAACCAAATGCAATTTTCTCATCTTCTTAAGGACGAAACAGGACACTGTCATTTTACTGAATTAGATTTCTTGTGGCGAATGAAAAACGGGGGGAAGGACCTATTTTTTTCTCCTCTGCAAATCCTGAAGTTTCCCCCCAGTTCAAACAAATCAGCCAGACACTATGTCTATACCTCTCCCTTCCTTTCTCCTATCCCACAGAGTTGTGTGGCTTTTAAATAGGTCTCTAAAAACCATTAAAAAAAGGCCTCGCAGCAGCCCACCCATTTAGAGAACTGACATTGACCCAACGCCAAAAGAGGGGGGGGGGAAGCTTTGAGCGCTGGGGTATTTTTCAGACTGCCTTATAACGTTGCAGGGGTCCCCAAACTTGGCAACTTTAAGCCTTGTGGTCTTCAACTCCCAGAATTCTCCAGCCAGCTGGCTGGAGAATTCTGGGAGTTGCAATCCACAAGGCTTAAAGTTGCCAATTTTGAAGACTTCTGGCATAGAGGAACCCTTCCCAGCGCCGCCCTGAGAGAAAGAGGGCGAGAAAGCACCGGTTAAAAGGCAGCGGCCGAAGCTCCCTCTCCTCCAGAGTTTCTGCCCGGTGCGCGCAGTTCACTCGGGTTGGCAAAGGCAGCGCCCCGCCCGTTTCCAAAAGGCGGCAGCTATAAGGAGCCTCAGGGCGGGGGATTCCCAAAGCAGCGTCTCGGCGCCGTCCCACCTTCTCTTACCGTCCGCTCCCAAGGAAGGCAAGGCGGCCGCCAGGAGAAAGCCGCCGAGAAAGCAGGCGGAGTAGGACGCGGGCGAAAGGGCGCCCATGGCCGGGCAAGGGAGCTCCTGCCCGACCCACTCGCGTCGCTCGCGGGGGTTTGGGGCCGCCCAGGCGCCGCCCACCCTTTGGGCCAGGACGAGGAAGAAGGGAGGGAAGCGGGAGGAAACGTCCTCCGTGCTCCTAAAGCGCTTTCCCTTCACCCGGAGCAGGCATGAGGCAGGCGTTGCACCGGTGCGGGGCTCCTAAGTCTCCCTTTTTTTGCGCGTCATTCTGCACTTTCAGCGGCGCTTCATCCGAAGAAACAGAAATCCTCCAGTTAAAACAACAGTGAATAAGACTTTGGGAAAGGTTAAAAAAAAAACTGCGTTGGAAGAAACGTCCTTCTGGGTTCAGTTTCAAGTGGGGAAAAAGACCCTGGAAACATGGAGGCTGCTTGGAAAGATGGTTTAATGGTGGACAGGATCACGTGGCTTGAGCTCCTGAACAGAAAAGGGGGATCGCATGCTTCCAGATGTTGGGTGAAGAAGAAAAAGAGAGCGAGATGCTGAAAATCCCTGGTTTTATGCCCTCTCTGGGCTTTGAACCTGAGCTTGTATTCTCATTGGTTGTCAGACTCTCATTGGGCCATGCAGGGGCAACTTTCTAGGCTGTGTTTTGAGTCCAAGTTTGAGCATTGCTTCTTCCCAGGTGCCCTGTGGTGAGATGGGTAAAGGGCTAATACTATCATGCCTTAATCCCATCACCCTGGAGCTGAAGGGGTGGAGATCTTTGTTATGTTGAATAGACTGGCTGAGGCCTTTTAATGGCCCCTTGACAAAAATGGGAGCTATTAATAATGAGTCTGCTTCCGGGCCAAAAAAACATGTTTCTCCAT